TGGTTACCTATATATTATAGTGGGGGGACAGAACAGCATATACCACTGCTTAGGATATTCTTCAATTACCCAAGTAAACCATATTCATATTCTAATAACCAAAGTCCACTAAATTGTTCCAATAAAGCCAGGTAAAAGTAACTTGTCACAGCCAAAGCACCCTGCACCTTGCTCTCTGGAAAGCTGAAAACTCCTCACGCCATTTTAGCTCCCCCTTTTTGCTCCTGTATATGGCTGCATTAATACAAGTATTTTTAAGCAGTGCTGGAAGCTACTTCCAAGGATGAAACAGAGGTCACTCATTTATGTAGAACTGCCTTAGTTTATGGTAGATATTTCTGAAATTCTTGTTAATATTCAGAAGGTGGTTATTTAATAGCCCACTAATTGAATTAGTCTCCGGTTTTGCTCTTGAAGCTCTATGCTGTGAATAAAAATGATTCAAAGAAATAGCTCAAGCATGTTCTAGTATAGCTACCACATAAAGAAATACTAAAGACAAAGTATATTACATACATTAATCTTTAATTAACAGCATCAGAGGAACTAGAATCTCATAGTGAGAGCACTGGACTAGCTACAAAAAGCCTTCATTCTAATCCCAGATCAGCCAGATTTGCTATGTACCTCCCATGAGAGGGGAAAAAGAAATAACTCTCTAAGCTCTCATTTTCCTTTTTACCTTTTGTCTGCCTTACCATTTATTTCTGCAGTAGTTGTAGCAGTGACGCTCTCTATACGTGCAAAACTCCAGACTGGCTCTGCCACACTGGGTAAGCAGCCCAACTGTTAATTGCAATTAACAGCAATATCAACATCCAACCTATCTCAAGACAGTTTTCAATCTTTGATGCTTCTGTAACTCTCAGAAACCATACAGATAAACCAAGAAGAGACAGCCTGTAGAAAGGGATAATAAAAGCACACAAATTATTTCCAACAAAAATATTACAGCCCATCTTCGAGCAATCTCCCTCACTCCCACGATTGCTATGCAATCCCCAGGCTGATGACGTATGAACTGGTTTTCTTGTTGGCTTTTTTCCAGACATCCAACTTTTACATCTTGGCTAGCCTCTCCAAAATGGCTGCTCCCCAGTAAACGACACCATGATGCAGCCAAAACAAGGCTTCTGCTTCTCCTGCCATTAAGCCCTGTCACCTCCCTTTCAAGCAGCCTTAGATTAGCACTCATTTTTCTCTCCCCTGCATTCCCCAGATCTAAGCTCTGCCAAATCTTGCTGCTTTCCCTCTGCAACCACAGCATCTCTAGAATCTGACAGTAAAAGTTCTTTTTCTCATCCTTATCTCTAACTTTCTCCGAGTCCCCCATGCCAATATTGCCATCCTCACACAAAATACTATCACTACCATTAGGCTCCCATTCTTGCCATTATGGGACATATACCTTTATTTCTCCAGGCAGGTTCCTGACTCAGCATTCGCAAACCAAAAAGACAAATATATTCTATTTAGAGTGATTTTGCATAACATACGCCATCCAATTGCCTCAGCTTTTCTCTCCCCTTTGTCAACATGGAAGTTTTTTCTGTATTTGTTCCACACTCCCCAGTTTCTGAATACATATAACCACTTACTCAAGTATGCAGCTGGAAAACCACATGATCTTTGCGGCCCATTCCCAGCTGGTTCTGCTACCCCCTCCCAGTAACTTTTCAGCAAAATTCCCTTTCCTTCACCCAGTGGAGAGACAGGAATGCACAGCTCAACAGCAGGGCTGAGGGTAAAGCAGAACAGTTCCCTAGCTCTCCAGGAGCCTCTTATCACTGTCTGTCTGCATACCAGAACAACAAAACCCTCTACTCCTCATGCAACCAGCTTGCCCCAGGCTTGTCTCTGCATTCAGATATTTAGCTCTCCTTCCTCATGCCTGATAAAACACTCCCCAAAGGCAAAACTTCTTACTAAGCACTCAGCCCTTTGATCTCAGAAGCAGCTGGTGCACAGCTGCTTCCCATTACTTTTGTAGCTTTCAGGAACCTTTTGCATTTTCCAGTCCTCCCTCATAGGCAAGCACGAAAAGCGAGACCACCACTAGCAGCCATCTCTCCTTCTCAGGCAAAACCTTTTATCTCCATCTCATGTCTCCTGCCCAATTCTTCCTTGAATTACTGCCCACCTGGCCCAGCCCCAGATCTTCCCTCCTAACCTGTTCCCCAAGCATGCGAGCAATGCCTTCCTGTTCCTTTTCTCAGCAAGACTCTCCCCAACGCTTGGGAGTCTCCCGGGAGACACAGTACTCCAGCCATCCTTACAGATGGTAGCGGACAGGCTGCTGTCCCTCATCCCAGGAAAATCTTCCCTCAGGTGGCAGTTGTTTGGAAGGTGGTAAGGAAGAAGTTAATTCCACCCCACAGACTATCTTCTGTGCACTACAAAGCCCAGTACACAGAGGAAAGCCTGCCCTCCTAAGAAGGAGGCACACCACTGGACCTTGCTAGGACTGGATGGACGTGGTTAAGGCAGCATCATCTCACATAGTCTAAGAGTAGCCCAACTGCAGTGACTATTAACAGCACAAGGCTTTCAGTATTTTGTACAGGTTTAAAGAAAACAGAGAAAAGCTAGAAACTGCTCCAGCATCTCAAGTTACAGGATTCAGACAGTATTTTAATCCCTTCCTTAGCTGGAAAAGCCATTTGAAACAACCACCAGAAGACAACTAGGGATTGTAGGAAGCAGCATAGCCAAATGACTCTGCCTACAACACTGAGCTTTGAGAAATGTTTCCAGTCCACTGCCTATGTAGATAGGAGACAAAGGGAACTGTTGACCAATCTGATGAGATTTGCATAGATATCCATAAAATATTAATCTTAATACTCACACACTGAGGAGAATTGATAAAGCTGAAATGCCTGCTTCTCAGCTTGCCTTCCAGAATTGCCTCAGCAAGGCTATTACCATGTAGTCACCAGCACTTCTGCAGCAGCTACTTCATCAGTGATCCCAAGGTGCTCTGTAGCCATGTGCCATTTAGAAAAATGACTTCACCTGGTCCTACTGCTGCCACCTCAGAGCCAAGGCCAGCAGCTGCTGCATTCCT